TCCCTCTACCCTCCCGGTATCGCCACTCTCACCACTGGTCCTGAAGGGATCATCCGCCCTGGATTCCCTGTGTTTCCAATTCCTATCTGTACCAGTGTTCATCCTCTGGTCTAGCCAGATTTGTAAGATAGAATTGGGATCATGATGGGGGGGCAGGGGCGGAAGCATTTAGGAACTAGAGAAAAGGTGTATGTTTCATCGTTGCTACACTGCACTCTGACTGGCTGGTCTCCTCCCCGAGACCCTTCCTTAAGGGGATGTCCAATTGCCTACAGCTGGGCTTTGGGTATCCACTCCGCACTCCCCCTTATTCAAAATGTTAAGATTTTTGTTCTGATAATGCCTTATACCTGATCCCTTTGGCACCTCGTGATCGCACAGGCTGGTGTGCTTCTTCCATGTGGGCTTTGGTGCTTCTGAGCTAGATGGCCGCTTGTTTACCTTCAAGCCTTGAAGACCCCAGAAGCTATATCTTTTGATAGCCGGACATCTGGTGCCACATTCTTCTTCATGTAATCCAGCTTTTCTGATTATTTGTTCAGTGTCTAGATTGAATAAGTATGGTGAGAGGATACAATGCTGAAGTACACCTTTCTTGATTTTAAACCATGCAGTGTTCTCTTGTTCTGTTTGTACAACTGGTTCTTGATCTATGTACAAATTCTGCTTGAGCACAATGAAGTGTTCTGGAATTCTCATTCTTCTGAAGGCTAGCCAGAGTTTGTTAAGGTCCACACAGTTGAATGCCTTTGCATAGTCAATGAAACACATGTAAACTTTTATCTGGTAAGTTGCTTTCATCTGACATCAGCAGTGATGGCCATGGTTCCACTTCCTTTTCTGAATCGGGCCTGCCCCTCTGGCAGCTCTCTGTCTAGGTATTCCTGCAACCACTGTTGGATGATCTTCAGCCAAATTTTACTTGCATGTGATATCAATGATATTTTTCTATAAGTTGTACATTCTGTTGCATTCTTTGGAATCGGTACAAATAGCTGTCTTTCAAGTTTCCTGGAATAGAC